CGCAGCCGCTGCACAAACGCATGGCCCATCACAGGAGGGCCAACTCCAGTGGACCAGAGTCAGCAGTCCACCTCCATCTGAAGGACAATGGACATTCTTTTGAGGACAGTGAAGTCCAGATCCTCTCCAGAGAACATTGCTGGTTTGAGAGAGGAGTTAAGGAAGCGATTTTTGTAAAAATAGAACACCCCTCACTAAATAGGGGTGGTGGACTAAGACACAACTTGTCTTCCATCTACAATCCTGTTTTGAGATCTCTGCCCAAACATGCCCACCCTAATTCCCCCACAGGACAATAGGCATTGGTCCACAGGTGAGGGTTCAAATACAGGTAACGAGGCACGTGATGCTGCCGAAAATCTTGGTGAACTCATTAAAAGGCCAGACGAGGGAATGTACAACAAAACTGTCTCTTTAATAAGAGAACTAATGCTAAACAAAAACCCATACAAGACAGTGAAACACAAAACTCACGGTCGGTATAACGGTCCAAGATCAGAGCCAGCAAACACATATATCAAAGGGAATCCAAAGTTCGTTGTCCAAAGGGAAGTCCGTAACAAGAGGGCAAGGCAGAACAGAATAGTCAGAGCACATGATCCAGGTCAAAACACGAGAAATACACAAACTGAATATAATGCTAGAAAGTCAGAGCTGGCGTCTAGAACAATCTTGCGGGGACTGGTGGGTGAAGGCTGCTTATAATGCGGTGCAAACTATAAGGAGCAGGTGAAACTAATGTGAGTGATTAGTAAAGGAAAAAAAGACCGAAACAGAGGTGAAACAAAAACAGGAAGTAAGGTCAAAATAAAAGCCTCGCAGGAAGCAGCGGAACCGAATCATGACAGATGCTCACTGATACTGGGCTATAACGTCTCAATCGTTAGGGGACATTGTTGGCCATCAAAGGACTGAAACACCACCGATGGGGATAAATATCTCCAACTCAACACCAGTCGGCCAGAGCTGATAAAGCCTCTTGGATGAGAGGTGAAACGTCTTAGACCTAAAAACCTAGTCCAGTTGTTATTTTCTAAGTTTTTCAGTTCAAAACATTCTACCTAGCCTACCCTGGTAGGCTAGTGGTTAAGATGCAGCGCTCTTGCCGCTACGGCCCAGGTTCGAGTCAGAGTTGCATCAGGAAGGGCATCCGGCGTAAAACACGTGCCAAATGTCAACATGTGAATCGTCAGTGTGACGATTTTCTGTGGCGACCCCTAAGCGGGAAAAGTTAAAGTGACTTTCTATATAAACTTCATTTAACTAAAATGTCAGAGGTTTAGACTATTTGGGCATAAAGATTTGAGTCTTACAAAAAAGTGACTGTTGAACAGAAGCAATGTGCTGATATTTTTTCTAAGGCAACCACATCAGTCTTATCAGTATACTCAACTGACGGAGGCTGCTGTTTATCCTGTGTGACTGACCTATGTATCTACTCTCATAATGCAACTTAAAACATCTGCATGTATGAATTACATTTTTCCAAATAAGCACTTTATAAATTGCTGTTAGCTCTGTTTTACTAATAGGAAAATGAAATCTGTTGTTGGATGCAATCCTACAACAAAACTGTTTTGTCCAGATTGAACTGAATTTAAAATTAAAGTGGTAATTGAATTTAAAATTCAATTCAATTACCGTTTTGCAGTTACATGCCTGTGCCAACCAGTCAAATCCATGGGAATGGGACAGATGTGAGGCAAGTAATGATAATTAAAATTTGAAACAGTAAAACTAACTACTAACCATTGGAAACGTTACCATGGTTTACAGTGAAACCGGTAACTGGTTTACGGCTATTGCCAGCACAGAGCCATAAAAAACAAGGCATATTATAAAACCAGGATGCTGAAAAAAACTGGTTCACTATTGAACCTAAATGTCAACCCCTGATCTAAGGACTCATACAGCTTATCACCTACATCCTACCTCACTTTGAGTCAGAGTAAACTCCTGTCAATCACTCATTCCACAAGCACCACCACACACAGGCACATGTCTCTCAATGTGTGTGTGTGTGTGTGTGTGTGCTACTATTTGTGGTCCATTATTCCACTTGACTGCCATTCTGAACCTACCGACTGCAGGCATCTGAACTCAAGTGAAACAAATATGGAATGACAGAGGCCTAAAGAGAGGGAAGAGACGAAGGAGAAAGGGGAAGGTGGGAAGAAAACACCAGGATGGGGGGATGGCCAAATGAAAAGAGGCAGACGAGAAGCACAGGAGACTGGGTTGCTGAGAGGTGAGGGAAACAAAGGAGGAGGTCTGAGCTGTAGAAGCGTGGAACAGTTGTGTTTGCGCATTCTAACCTGGGGCAGTATCTCTCTGGCCAGGCTGAGCGCCTCTCTATAGGCAGCATCTCCCATCTGGTTCTGCTTTACAGCTCTGTTTATGAGCCCCATCTCCAGAGCTGTCTGCCCTCCCACACGTTTACCTGATAAGAGAGACAAAATCCTCACTGAGCAATAAGCATCCTGTGTCTGTAGCAACATGTCAGCATTTCTGTGACACCACCTGTGAAGATGAGCTCTTTAGCCAGAGTGATGCCGACCATCCTCGGCAGCCGCTGACTGCCCCCTGCAGGACAAAACATTTCAAAGGTCAGCTTCTCATAGCTGCTTTGTCTCTCTACTTAAACACTCTGGGTCATTTCTGTGATCTCTGTTTGTCTTACCCGCCCCTGGCAGCAGCCCCCGCGTCGTCTCAATCAGACCCATCTGAGCCGAATGTGCTGAAACACACACAGAGAGGACAGTTGCAGGTCTGAGCTGCTGAGGGCCATTAGACTGGGCAGGCCATAAAGTCTGACTGATGCCTCTGTCACTGCAGCGGTCACAATCTCCTGCTCACCTAGCTTGTCAGCACTCAACCAATCACACAGTTGTCACACCTAATATAGCCAGTCACATACAGACTGAGCTACATGAACAGCTGGGCAGATGTGTCTGCCTATCATTAGTCTCTGAGCTCCTCAACAGATCACTAATGCTGGGTGAAAAAACACACATCTCCAAATGTTCAGCTCTCAGGAACAACACAGACCACTGAACAGTGTATTGACACTGTTTTGAAATACAGCTGTTCGAATGTTTAACCCCTTACAATCCAGCTTGAACTTTTGGTAGCTGCATCATTCCATCGCATGATGCTTATGTAGCATTTTATATACATTTCCTCAAGTTTGTAAAAACTGACCACTGCATGTTATGTTTCCTCTGTCCACAGGTAGACACAGAATTCTTTAAACAAAAACATGAAAATAACCATTTTTTGTACTTTAACCTAACTGTAACAATTAGATCTTTATTAAATATTACTTTCATTATTAATTAATCCATTATCTATGCAGATTATTCCTGAATGGGGTCGCGGGGGGCTGGAGCCTATCCCAGCTGGCATTGAGCGAGAGGCGGGGTACACCCTGGACAGGCATTATCAATTAATGTGCCACTTAATTGTTTTGTCTATAAAATGGCAGAAAATTGAAAGTATTTCCCATAGACCAACATATTTAAATGTCTTGTTTTGTCTGGTCAACAATACAAAATTCTAAGACACTCAGTTTATTGTCATGTATGACAAAAAACTTCAAATTTGCAGATTTGAGAAGGTAAAAACAGAAGAGGTGCTGCATTTTCCCTAAATCCTAACTCAAAACTAATATTTGATGACCAGAAACCTTGCCGATTAATTTTTTGATGGAATGACTAATCAAGTAATCCACTAATCACTGCAGCTAAAAGTAAGGATATGCTCTGAGTCTGCCCATGTGTACACATGTATTTGTATGGGTATAAAAACTATTCTCACAAACAACAATATTGTCAGATGTAAAAGAGGAAGAACACATTACAAGGAAGTGTCACACTTCAAAATGAAGACAAGTTTTGCCAAGCTGTGCAATTTGAAAAATGCCCAGTCCATCAGGCAAGAATATCAGATGTTGTAAAAACCAAGAAAGAATGAATAAATGATTAAACAGATTCTACAGCCTGTCAAATGGGTTAAGAAAAGGGTCTGACACTTTATAACTAAGGCTAAATCGCAACCCCTGGTCACAGGCTGTACATCTATGAGCTACAGAAGTTCAACCAGAGTGACGTTCCCCCTCAGATTGCTTCATCTGAATAGGTTTTAAAGTCCTCAAGACTCTCCAGTACTTCGCCACAAAACAAAAAGTCAGAAACATAAACATAATGTTGTGTAGCAGAAATGTGCTTCTTCTTAACTTCTGACTCCCTCGTTGAGGACCACTGTTCTAATCTACACTGACGGGGTGACAAAATTGTCAGTCTAGAGAGATGGCTCTGAGTAGAAGCTGCTCTCCTCCACCGTCCTGTTTAGACTGAACCACTGATCTAATATGACTGGATTGGTGACAGCTGTGAAGAGAGCATGACATCCCCCCTTCATACCTCATTAACATCACCTGAAGGGAAAAAGGAGTTGTATTTAAGTGTGATGCAAACTCATTCAGTTCAGGGTTGATAGAGGTCACTCACCAGCAGTGCGGAGGTCACAAGCCATGGCCAGCTCTAGTCCCCCGCCCAGGGCAACGCCGTCAATCGCTGCAATGGTCGGCATGGGCAGCAATGCTTCCAGGGCATTACAACAAAGAGGAGAGTTCACAAATGCAATACAAAGTGTACACTTTCCTGCTTTTGCAAACTTTTTCTTACCTATCTGAGTCATGAGTGATCGCAGGCCATTGACAAACAGATCAGACTCAGTGTTGTTCATCAGAGCCCTCTCTTTGAGGTCAGCACCTATACAGATCAAAACATACAGTACACCGTCAAACATCATTTACACAGGTTTTGACCACAAACCCAGACACATGGCAGGTTGGAGATGCTTCACAAAACATTGACCTGCACAGAAAACCCCTGGTACCAAGCTCCTGAAGACCACCACACGCACTGCTGAGTCACTGGACAGACTGGACACCAGCTCCCTCATCTGCACACACAGGACAGCAATGAGTCTCAGTCAGTGTGGGATATGATGTAACTGTGTGTGAGTAGACGTCTGCTCACCTGAGACACAAACACATGCCCCAGAGCATTTCTTGCTTTGTGTCGGCTCATCAGCACTTCTGCTATCCCTGGGAAACAGCAACAGGAGAAAGGGGGGGGCAGCAAATACCAGTTCATTTTCATTTGTTTTCAAGTATCAAAACAATGGGTTCATCAACACAATGGGCTCCCCACTGTGACCCTTCATGTGTGGGGTTCTATCAATAAAACTGACTTGATTTAATTGAAAAAGTCCTCAAGCATTAGTTTCAGTCCTAATTATTAAGATAATAAACTGACTCCATATGAGACTTTTGCAGATTTTTTTTTTTTTTTTACAGTTTTATATTTTAAAAGTCTCAACTATTTATTTCTTTACCTGGCAAGAATGAACTTCTGTAAGTCAGAGTACTTCCTTTAGAATAACTGTCCTTATAATATTTTATCTTAGAAAAACTGGTTGTAAAAATCGACTACAATCATGTAGTGTATCCCTGGTAGGCCAGTGGTTAAGGCGCAGCGCTCTCACCGCTGCACCCCGGGTTCGAATCCCTAAACGGAAAAGCCGAAAGTGATTTCCTTTCTAATCATGGGATGTAAAGTATACCATAGTACAGACAGTTGCACAGAAACTAGACTCTCTGGCAGAATATCGTGATTTTACAAGATTTACCCAGAGAATTTAACAAGTTTCTACATTATTAACACGTTTGTAGAAATACCATCACCCGTGGGCATAGCCTACTCTTCCTCAGTAAATAGAAGAAAGTCACTTTCGGCTTTTCCTGTTTTAGGGGTCGCCACAGCGAATCGTCGCGCGTTGACATTCGGATGCCCTTTCTGACGCAACCCTGACCCGAACCCGGGCCTTAACCCCTTTTCCGTGCGTCATCAGACGGCTGAATGGTGACTGTTAAATCATGTGTCTGTGTGTTAACTGGACAGTAAGACTGTCGGTGTGAATTCAAACTGTGCTGAATGGCACTGAAGTGCGTCCCTACCATCGTCTTGCCCTTCTAACCGCTTTACATCCACCTCTACAGGATCTGCTCCGTCCGTGTGCTGCCTACGGCTGTGTGCACCACTGTATCCCGTCAAAGGGGGACTGCCACAGGCCAGCAGTCGCGGTCCCCGCAGAACTATACCCAGGCACCGCCACGATGAGCACCTGGGCCCTGCCAATCTGCGAAGGACAGTTGTCATGCTGGCTCTTCCTTTACTGTTTACTTAGCAGAAACAGAAAGACGAGAAAAAAACGCAGGAAGTTTGGAGCCGACTTCTTCCTGTAAGAGGAGGGGCCTAGCTGCTCGATATGACCAGCCGTGACACGGTCAAACAAGGTCATATCCTATCAAACCGCTCAAAATGACCTCCCGCCAACAGGATGTGTGCGTGAGCAGTGCGTTTTAGAGGCAGAAATCAAATATTTCAGAGGACACGCCCATCATTTTAACTTACCCACAATGGGCGGGCAAATGAAATTAGAAATGGATGAAATGATATTAAACTAGACTAAAATGTTAAAAATGACCAATGAGAATAGATTTTTTTATTTTTAGGTGTTTCAGATAACTCTAGTTATAGAGGCAGTAGGCCTCTGATAGATAGGTTATATCCTACCTGACAGAATGAGCTACTTACTGTATGTCTGCTTCTCACACATATCTGACCTGAACAGCTACACTGTTCTTACTAGGCAAGTTCATGATTCACTTTAGTCTGTTAGCTCATCCTGAGTGAATAGTGGCAATGGTCAGAACAGTGGTACATCACAGAGCTAAAGCACAATGATGCTAATGTTTATGCCTGAAATGTTATTGTAATAAAAAGGAAATTTTGTTCTTCCTGACACCAGTCTCCATTTCACTCAGTAAGACTAAATGAAAATTTTGTAATTCTGAAAGTTTATCTTAGGTTACTTCCTCCTCTCCTGTACACACACACACACACACACACACACACACACACAAACTGACCTCACACACCCTGAGTCTTCCCTTAGTTATGCTGCTATAGGCCTAGACTGCTGCCCCTCCATGATGCTCTGAGCTCCTCTGCTCTCTCTCTGTGCATCTATATGCCATTACGCATCACTAATTGTGTGTCTCCTCTTTCTGTCATGACTAGGTATGGCAGGGGGACCCAATGTACTCGGACACACAACGGGAGTGGAACACAAAAGGTTTATTGACAAAGGACTGGTTACTGGGTGCAGGAGAGGTAAACCCAGCCAGCTCCGGCTGGGCTGCAGGAGTGAAGGTGAGCCGCCACGCAGGTGAGCTGAAGCACTGGCACTCATGGAGAGACAAGGAGGAAGACACTGTCGCAGCATTGTTCAGGTACAAGCGAGCCAGGGTTTTGTTCAGTAGAGTACATTCACCAGTCTGGTGAAGGGCACGGGAGAATACGCATGCACACACATACAATGAACTGGCGAAGAGCACAGGAGGTAATGAGCAGCAGGTGAATGGAATGATGGCCGATTATGCTGGCAGGCCCGACATAACAGGAGAAATAGGGAATCAGGGAAAAACAATGAAAAACAGAAGCATAGGTCCATGGATCATGACACTTTCTCATAGTGTGTCCTCTCTCTCTCCCTGTACTTTTCTGCAGGTTGCCCTGGCTCTGGAGCTCAATGTCTCTGATGAGCAGTCCCCAGCCACATCAACCTGACCAGTGTTTGATAGTTTGCTGTGACTTATTGCTTTTCTTTTGTCTCTCCTCTATCCACTCACCCCAGCTGGTCGAGGCAGAAGGCCGCCCACCAAGAGTCGGGGTCTGTCGGAGGTTTCTTCCGTTAAAGGGAGTTTTTCCTCCCCACTGCCAAGTACTTGCTCAAGGGGGATTTGCTGGGTTTCTTCTCTATCATATTAATAATAGTAGGGTCTAGACCTTTGTAAAGTGTCCTGAGATGACTTTTGTTGTGATTTGGAGCTGTACAAATAGAATAGAAATGAATTGATTTGACATTGTCCACCAGCCTGCTGTGCTGCCTCTGGAGTGTCCAGACAAAATGTGTTGCTGAGGTAAGGTTTCCCTTCAAGCTGACCACGTCTAGACTGACCATGCATTATTGAGCAGGTCTTTACAGGTTATGCATTTACACAGTCAGACAGTGGTTCTGATGGCAGGACAGGCTGAGAGACAGCCAGCTGTGTGTGTACATGCTTGTGATTCAGACGTCCATGGGTCCATGGGTCCCAAACATTCACCATTTATAAAATATTACAACTTTTTTTGCATTCAAGTACATCAAATTTATATTGATCAGATTACTTCCCTTCAACCACAGCAGGCACATTTTTATTGTCCATTTTATTCCCTGTCAGGCTTTGTTTACCCTTCCTAATTAAGATGCAAGAGGCTCAGGGCAGTGAATCATATGAATTTACCAAAGTGCAGAGTGTAGGTGGCTGTGTGTCCTGCAGGGTGTTGGGTCCGGAGGGAGGGCAGGTTGATGTGGGTAAGGTGAAACTGAAACTAAAGTGAAACTGTAACCACAACTGCATAGAAACATGCTAATCACACACACTTTTACTCATGTAAATTTGACCACTCATCAAAGAGAGATTAGATAAAACAGAAAGAGAGAAGGAAAGAAAGGGACACACAACAACAGGTAAAATGATAGACTTGTTAAATTTAAATGTTCAGCTTGACGGGACATAATCTGAGAAGTAAGGAGAGATCGTTCAGATTTAGGTTCTGTTGCAGTGGAGTGAAATGTCATCTGATGTATTTGATGCCTGTCAGGTGTGTATTCCTCTTCTCATGTGTACATATCTTATTAATAGAAAACATATGGTAGATGACACTTGGTGTTTGACCGTGAGGGTGTGTGAGGGACAGAAACTGAACCTGATGGACACACATAGGTCCAGGTCGCCAGTAATGCCATTAAAAAGGACAAAGGAGAAGAGAGTTGTTTTGGGAGGTGTGTTTCAGTGAGTTTGATGCACATTGCCTCCATCCCTCCAACCTTCTATCACCATTTCCAGGCTTCAGCTTGACAGTTTCATATCCCCCTCTGTCAAAAAACATCCTTGGCATGGCAACCACACAGCACCCCTCCACAGTCCTGCAGGTGTCAGGCTTGTATCAAAGTGCTGAACAGAAGAGTGTGTGAGCTGTCCTCTGCTCACTTTGTGTCATTTCACTATGGGGCCTTGCTGGCAGTCTTCTTCACCACCTGCTATTATGGTCCAAAGAAACATGAACATTCCCTCACTAACACTCTATCTCTTGTGTCTCCTTCTTCTTCCTCTCCTTCCATCAGTGGAGGTGACATGAGTAGGAGGCAGAGACCTGTGTGGACCGCCACAAACAACCCTCCATTCTCGGCTTCATCCAAGGCCACAGCAGAGTTTGGGCAGAGAGGCCTGGTGACGGGGCATGAGGCCAAGCATGTGTCAGGAGGAGTCAGTGGTATCCTGTTACTGGGGCTGTCTGTCAAGAGAAAGACATTACAGTAATGTGCTCAGGGCAGGTATTGTGTGTCTGACCTTTGTGTCTGATGTTTTATCACACAGATGCACTGTAATATCAACACACACTGCTCTCTTTCTTAACCTGCATCTACATTCACAGGATATTGCTGTCTATCACAAATTCACCTATAAATGACATTACTCAGGCCTTACTCATGTAAGGAGCTAATTTAGTTATGAAGCCACAAAAGAAAACAACAGATCTATATGCTCTGCTGACACTGCAGAACCAACAGCCTTCAATGTAAAAGTGGCTCATGGGAACATTGAATAGGTCCAAATTTTAGCACCAGCACCACAGAGTTAGTACATTGGCTTGACTGCTACCTAACAAAGTAAGAAGCTGAAAGAAATAGGAATAATTATACTTGTGACAGTTTAAGTTAGCGAATTGTCAAAACTCATTTTACAACCTTTTTGTTTATCTCTCTCACTGCTGAGCAAGTTCACTTGGATGTGTTGAAATAAAGAGCCCCAGACGTACACCCTG